CGCTTAAGTCTAGATAGCACTGCCTAATAAAATTAAACTAAACTTCTCATGCGTTCACGATTTGAGGTTCTGGAAAGAGAGGCTCTGGGTTCGAATCTCAGCTCAGGGATTCTTGTGCGGAGTTGGCATCTCCTCCCCGTGCTAGTGCGAGTTCTCTCTAGGTCCTCTGGCTTTCTCTCACATTCCATCAGCACGCAGGTTAGGTTCATTGAAAACTAAATTACCATTAAGTGTGAATGTGATTGTGAATTGCTGTTGGTCCACATGCACTCTGCTGTTCGCCGCCAACCAGTCCAGGGTGTACCGTGTCTCTCCAGCAAAGTCAGCTGGGAAATGCCTCAGTCCTCCTGCGATGCTAGTGAGGACAAGCGTTGAGTTGAGTTGAGAAAATGTAATCAAGCACACATTTCCAGTCAGGGTATTCTTGCTCGCCAGTTCTCCCCAAACATAAAAGTCAATATCAAGCGAGGTGCCTTTAAGTTCTCTGGGGAGATGATTGCGATGGCCTCCACTCCACAAGCACTTGAAAAGGTTCACTTGTGGCAGCACATCAGCGTGCCTTAATGCTAAGGTCAAAAACAAAAAGAGGTGGTGGTTTCTTGGGAGTCCACTCTGTTCCATGGATTAACCCCAGTCAGATATGGACCGAACTATCCCATCTGGCGCTCAGTCAAGAGAGATTGGCAATACAATCAGTCATTTCAATTTGCCCTGAAACCTTCCAGCCAGGCCAGGCTCATGCTCAAATGGTATGCTAATGTGAAAGGTATCTGGGATTCTATCGTCTCTATTCCACAGAGGCATCCCCCGAACGCCACTCCACCTCCGCCCAAACTGCACTTGAACCGCGGCCAGAGTGGGCGCTCCGCAGGCTTTGCAATCAAGCCTGGAGCACCGCCCCCCCCCCCCACCCCAGCCCAACCCTTTTGCGCTCAAACTAACCACTTTAGCTAAAGTGAGTGTTAATTATGGACAGGCAAAGCAGTCAATAAAGGTTAATGCAAAAGTCAAAGGATAAATTCCTTTAAGCATTGCATCATTCCGCCATCGCCAAGACCACTGGCTACCTCGCAGGTCTCCTAATCAATACGTTTTACTGTAATGCGCTCCTTATCGATTTTCACCCTTCCTCAGCCCCTCTTGCTCCCTGGCTTCTATTACTCAGTTAAACGAGAGAGACAGAAAAAGATGGAGAAACGAGAAAATAAAATCATTAACCTCAGGTTGCCTTTGTTACAGAATGCTTGGTCTTTTTCTTGCGAGGAGAGCACGCAGTGGTCTGTCTTCCCCACCACCACCTTAATCTCTGGCTGCTGCTGGATAATCTGTGCAGCGGTCCACTCAAGGGGGGTGGGGGGGCGGCCATACATTAAAGGGCCCTCAGCTCTTAAGAGGATGGAAATGGACGTAATAGACAACATCAGTGCTTCCGACCGGCGTAATTACACTGATAAATGCACAATTTTGTCAGGCCAAGTGAAAAAGAATCCGCGGTGCAGGGACGGGAGACAACACTGATTGCGTTATGGCTGCACAAGGTCGTTTGTAACCTCACGGGACCAGGACGGGGCCATGTCTCTCGGGGCAAAGGTGGAGGTGTCACTGATGAATAGCTTTTTGGAGAGTGTACCAAGAGAGGTGTTTTCATTTCGGAAAATAAAAACCTCAGCACAGTATATATATTATTTTCCCACTGGAAATCGACAAGGATTGGATTTAAGTTACCTCAACTTCTTTCGGATAGCAGTCACCGCGCTGAGGGTAAGAGGGATGGAAATGGATGGATGAATGATCAAGTCTTCAACATCTATTCTTTGTCTATGGCTTTTGCTGTTCAGGGTTAAGAGTGACTCGGAGCCGAACCCAGCCGATTTTGGGGCAGGAGGGAGAGTACACCCTTTTTTGCAATGTGTAGCCAAACTAGTGAAAGATCATGAAAACTCGACACAGTGAGGTCTGAGACTTTCATTTTCCGATTCCATTTCAACTATGAGATTAGGTCAACTAAATCCGTCCTGTGGGTCCTTAATCCACCCCGGTTGGTCTTCAACAAGCACAAAGTCCATCTGCTAGTCTACTAAGTCTGGAAGACGCCTTCATTGAATCAACTTCTTCGGGTACCCCGCAAAAGTTGAATCAAATGCACCTGGAATTCTTCTTGGTTCAAGAAGCGTTTTTGGAGTCATGGTAAGATATCAACAACAAAGAAGTAGTCTTGTTTTCTTGAGCTGAACGATTTGGGGATTACCATTGAATGAATGACTGAGATTATACAAACGCTTTCAGGATCTTGCTAACAGGAAGTCAAACGAAGGCAATGATTATTTGCATAAGTAATCAGGTCTATACCTGTTACCATGCCAGTCAATTCATAGAGCGGGCTATAAAGCCAAAGGCCTGACTTCAGAATATCATCCAGTGACCGGCTATTTGCATTTGAGTCATTTATATCACCTGTTCCTTTGTGCTAGTACTGGCAAACAGTTCTGTGCAGGTGCGAGCATTTACAGCCTTGGCAACCCCTCATGCTCCAATTGCTGAGAATGTAATCAGACGAGTTGTGAAAAAGCAGGCATGTTTCTTGTAAATCAAGCCTACCCTGAAGGTAAAGTACACAATGTGAGTCCAAAGAATAAAATTACCCAAGCGTATTTCTGTAACAGTTATGAAAGTCGAGACGCGAGTGAACACGCGCGTTTGTCATGCATTAGGAGGCGGGTAGAGGGACAGACAGGTAGCATTTAGCCGTGTGTAAATCTGTCAACGGTACACCAAAACGTTAGCGAAGTCAAGCAGAGGGCATCAACACAGCAAGTTGTTGAGAACAAGGCTAAACCTGCAAGGCGAAACCTTAGCGATCCGCCCACCCCAGCTACCGTCCAAGTATGGCTCAACTGAGCAGAGATGCGCTCTTTAAGGCTTTGTGACCGTGATGAGGGCAATTCAGCCATTTATCATGAGCGACGAGGGCAGCCATCCAGCAAAGTTTTTTGCCAACCCACCAAACTGTTCATCAAGTAACCACTTACCAGGAAGCCAGCTACACTTGACAACTTTCTCTTCATTATTCATTTCACATCAATCCAGTCATCACTCATTCATCCATCCAGTTTTCAACAGAGCCATAAATCGACCTGTTTATCAGTCTTAACCAACTACAACGAACCAATCGACCGACCGACCAACCAACCAGTCAACTATTATAGACTAAACAGCCAGTAAGACAGCTAGCCTCTCATCCATCTATACTTTAATACTTTCACCATCAATTATTTTGTCCTCCAATCTTGCCAGCCAGTTTCCAGCTAGCATCTTTACCATCCATCTGCCTGTGTGAGAAGGGCCACATCTTAAACATTCGTTCGCATCCATCACATGCCATTGCATCTGCAGACAGCTACTGACTGTATAACGTTTACGATGGTTTGAGGTGAGCACTCGTGTGGCGGAGGGAAACGGAAAAAAAACAGGGTAGTCCTCCAAATGGATGACATATGTTCATTTCTCTTTTGATTCCCTCTAAAGAGCCTCGTCTAATAAAACGAACATCTAATGCACTGCTTGGCCTTTAATCAGCGCTTGTGCACACGGCGCAGAAATGCACCGGCAAGTCAGAGACGGCACGACCACTCAAGCTGCCGCCGAGGCACGTGGGCACCTCAGAAGGAGGTGCAGCCCGATTCAGAGTCTGTGAGGTCCCCCCCCCCCACCCCCACCAATCTTCCCAGTCAAAGTCGAGGCTCCTCGTTAAACCACATGAAACAAATGAGGCTCGTTATTGGCATCGGATGCCATTGGGAAATGTGACGACCCGCGTTTTCATTGGTACAGCGTGTGGAACGTTCTCGGGCTAGCTGGCACACACATGTAAGGAGCCTTGTACCTGAGCAGCCTTGGCTTCCTTCACACCCTGAGCGCTTGATGTGGCCTGGCAGCCTGCCCCGTCTTACAGCGTGCTAATCCGCATGCAACTGAAAAAAAATCGCACACGCAGCCAGCCAGGTAGCCTCTAAATAGCCTCCCATAATTGGTGGCCATAAAACACTATTGCAGTCTGGAAGTGAAAAGAAGGTAAGGCCCCCGAACTGCAGCTACCGCTCAAAAAAAAAAAAACAGGTGGACGTCCATTAGGTGCTTAACAGCGTAACAAATTGCCAAACACCCCGGCCTGCTCCGGCTCTTCCTTAGGCTATCGGATGGAATGTGGCCCTAATGTAAACACAGTGGCAAAATTTACGAGCAGACAAGTATTGTTCCATCGTAATCAGGTTCCAGTAAAAAAAAAAAAAAAAGAGACAAAAGGCTGTAGACGGACAAGCACATAGAGCGCTCCTGGCTGTTTATTCTTCCAACAAGTGGGGAAGAGACGGATCACCCCTTGAGGCTCTGGACAGCTCTAAGAAGCTTTTGAGAGAAAGGTAAGGTGTGTGCCTATTTGTGCCTGTGAGCCTTGGAAAGAATCAGTGGCTTTCAAAACACCTGTGCCAAGCAACATGCTAGCTCAAGTAGCAGACATTGGATTAAAAAGTCTGCCAGCAACTCCCGCAGACAATAGGTTAGCACAGTTGTTCCCGGTGCCATCTCCATGTGAGTGACATAAACTAGTGCGAGCTCGTCTACAGTTTACGGAGAAACCGTGATCAAATTTAGGGAATACTGTATAAATGTTAGACATTTGAGTGAGCGTTACGACCGTGTTCAGCAATTTTGATCTTCACCGCAACCGCAGGCAAACGGAAATAAACAGCACACACGTCACAATTGTCTGTCCTGAATGATCATTTCCGAAGCAGATCGGGAAATTTAAAAATCACAGACAATTCCTCAAGATAACCTTTTAGAGCCATCTCATAATCAGTTCTTTGTTGTCTGCTCTTGGATAAAATGTGTTGAGATGTAAATGCAGGAGAACCTTGTCCTCCATCGTAATTTGTAAGCATGTCTCGTTCGACTGATACGTTCAAATTAGCGTGTTTTTATTTTATTCTGATTTTTTTGGCTGTCTCCCCTGGAAAACAATCACCCCGAATCCAGGTGAGGAGAGCCAAGCGAGAATACTTTCCAGTTTTCCAGGGCAAAGTCATGCAGTTTCTGTCCAGACTTGTTGTGATGCTATTGTAAAATGATCATTTTGAACTCTTCCCTCTGCACTTCTTTATGGCAAAACATGAACACCTTGTAGGCAATATAAACATGGCCGATCGCACCCATGATGAATGAGGCTGGCCCCAACAGCCACTGGATGACACCCGACAGCGGTCACATGATAAGGTAGGCACAATCCTCGACTGTCTTCGGGTGACAATGGCAGCAGGGTCAAGCTGGCCCTCGCTAATTATATGTCTTTTGTATCTTCAATTGTCGGGTTACAAGTCATCCTTGTTGCTGCGGGGGACGTGCTGTTAAGTTATGAAGCCTTCTGTGTCAAGCGAGAGGCTTTCTAAGTGCTTTGCACTTGAAAAGCTATCATGTTTACAAAATATGTATGTTCAGGCGACCCACAAAGGCAACACAGACACACTGAAGTGGTTGTTGGAACCTGGAAATTAGCCTGCAGGTAAAAGAGACGACATGAGACAACATGAGTATTTTGAAAACGGGAAAACAGCAAATGTAGGCAGTGGGAAAGTAGGAAGGACAAATCGTGAATTTTAAAAGTCAAAAGAGTGGATACGACCAATCCAAGCATGGGTCCCCTACCATAAATTTAGGAATATGCATTCACTGTGCTGACAGAAGCTAAAGACATTAGTTCGAAAGAGATGCATGACTCTCGATAACTGCAAGTTATTATTGATATTACATATTCAAATTTTGGAACCACCTTGCAGAAGAAAATATTTATAGCTGAATAATATATGGCAGGTCAGACTCCCAGATTCTCACCCACAAATATAACCATTGTGGCAATATTGGGACTTGTTTCGGAAAATTAGGACTTAACTCTCATTATACTGTTTTTCTAAAAAAAAAAAAAAAAAAAAATAACAATAATAATAATAAAAATAAAGTATAAACAGTTTTGTTACCTTTTCAGTTCATTTAAAAAATGGAAAAAAATGACATCCCTTTAAATATTATGCTATTGAAGGATTCTACGACTTCATTCTTATAATATTGGAGGGGCTCATCACTTTGATTCAGTAATTCTTTGCGCAATCAGAAGCCAACTCAAAATGATTATTACAAAGAGAGAAAGCTAGCATAAATTCATCTACAAAGTAAAGGATACAAAGAAGGGAAAAAAACATCCTCAACGTAATTAAATTCTAAATATCTGACAGTACTGTTTCATTGAAAAAAAATTGACGTGATTTGGGGGGGGGGGGGAAAGAGAGAAAACCAATTTCAAATATATAATAGAAGCTCCAATATAACAATTAATTAATTTCAGAATAAAAATAAAACACTTAAACACAAATGTAGAACTAATCAACCAATTACAGGATATACTCTGTTTGATCAGTTTCCCGGCCAATAATTAAGGCTTTGATGACCTTTTATCTGCCACGATGAAATATCAGATGATAAAGGTTAGCTATAGCGATGACTGGAAGTGTTAGCTCTAACGCGACATTTGACTTGGCAAATAAAGTGGAGTTCAAGAGTACACAGTCAAAGTTATGTATTTTTGGATTATTTACAGTACAGGCTGAACCCATTCTGGAAATGTCAAGTCGGGGCAGGCGCACTTGTTTCGCACTGTTGAACTCTGGCATACTGTTGAGCAAATTGTGTTTACTATGCGCCATAAGCTCCGAATGTGTGAATCAACTCTTTGTTTTAGTTAGTAAATAGTGTCATTAAAGGGCTTCAGCATTTAAAATGCTGTCAACTGCCAACAATTTGTTTGGAGGAGCAGCCAAGCTTGGGGCCTGAGGCGCAAGAATGCAGAAGAATGGATGTGTGTACGTGGACACGCGCGCATGTGTGTGTGTGTGTGTGTGTGTGTGTGTGTGTGTGTGTGTGTGTGTGTGTGTGTGTGTGGGCGTTGGCGAACACATGTGGACCTGCCTGCCCGGATGAGTCGGTGCGTTTGTGTAACCTTTGTGTAATGGCTCACAGAAAGTTGCTCAAAACACCTGTTTGCGGTTTAACAGGTATTAAATGGGAGTTTTGTTTGGTGTTCCAACACACTGATGATTGTGTGAAGAAAAAGTCGTGCTACCAGTCTTGGAGCATCACTGCATACAAGCCTTTCCTTCGTTGTGTATTTTTATTTTATTTTTTCTATGGGGCCGAGGTAAACACATCACACTCTCTTGACCAAATTCAAATTATTGGTGGTCTACCGTTAAATTAAAAAAATAAATAAATAAATTAAAAAAAAAAAACCCCGAAGTGTAATTATGTCATTAGAGAAAAGATCTGACAACAAACTTCAATCAAAACAATACCATCTGTGTTCAGCAGCCAACACTTCAAAAAGTACCTCCATTTCATCACTTTTGTTAGAGGAATTTTATTTGCAGCTACAAAAACTTCTTGCACCCTCAAAATGGAAATAGTCAATTTTCTATGAATCTAGTAAATAGCTAAACACAAAAATGGGGGCTCCACCATTGTTACGCTTATTTAAGGGGAGAAATTCAATTTCTTAAAATTACACTGCAGTGTGCAGATTTTTTTAATGCTATTTATTTATCTATCTATTTATTTACTTATTTATTAATTTATTATAGCATCTCACTGAATTTCTAAGCTTTAGAAACGGCATTGTAATCCTTGTCAGGCGAATGCATGTCAATTTCTTTCTTTCTTATATCTGCTCTTGAATTTCTTTGGGCCTCGACATTTTTTTTAAGCTTGTTGAGATCTTTTGTCCAACGTCATTTGGTCAGACAGGTTCTATTTAATTTATTTTGTGATTGAACAGTTCTGGAGGTAATCGGTCTAGGGTGCGGCCAGTGGAAATGATCTCCGCTTTCCAAGCAATGAAGGATCAGGTACCATTTAAAAATGTATTTTATGTTTACTTAGATTATCGTGCATATTTAAAGTTTTTTTAATGATCTTAAACATTAAAGAGGGTAAAATGGAATTTGAGAAGGGGGCAAATATTTTTTCACAGCACTCTATATAGATATGTGTATTATCTGTATCGAGCTAAGCTATTTTAGGAGGCTGATATGGGCTTTGATTTGCCAGAAGCAACAAACCATCCACCAACACGCCGTGCCTTGACCAAATTCTCTTGCCTTCACTGCTGATTTAGGATCAGCTGTGGGTCCGTAAGCATGGGTATAACCTCTTCCTTGGCCTCTGCAGAATCCCAGATGGCGACTGATCCAAAGACTAGCTCACAAACTCAGCTGCCACGGCCGCAGTTTAACCTCCTCCGCCAGCTCGTCAGCCCGGGTGACGGCCAAGGTCGCAGACGCTCACTTGAGAGGCGAAATGAGAGAGTCGAAGGAATTAGATCTGGGCTGAGTGGCCCTCATCTGGCTAAGCCTGGTAAGTAGCAAGACTAACAAGCTGAGGCATGGTGCTTTGGCTTTTCTCACACACACACACACACACACACACACACACACACACACACACACACACACACACACACACACACACACACACACACACATTGACTCGCATGTGCTCGTTAGCCTGCATGCTACACGGGAGGTACACAGAGGGAAGGAAGGACTCCGAGGGGCTACAGATGGTGCGCCCAGGGCCTGGTGACTGAAGCTCCGAATGAGCTCCTTTTGGATGCAGCGTGGCGCTGATGAGCAGGGCGGAAGACAAAGCACAGCGGAAGGAGGGCGTAAGGCGGTGCGAAAAGGGGTTGGTGGACCGTTTTTCCTTCAAGGGGGGTGAGAAAACGCATTCATTTTTGAAGGGATCTTCAAAAGGGCAAAAATGGTTTCTCAAAGAGGGTTCTCAAAGTTTTATGTGGGTCCTCTTTCCCAAAGTAGTCTGGGATAGGCCCCCTGTAACCCAAATGAGGAAAAGCAAAATAAAGGATGACAATGTTCTTTCATGTCACGAAGTGAAGCAAGCTTTGGGGACAGGATTTTCCAAATTCAGCATTTTTGATGCACACTTTCACCATGATGCCAAATTTGATGCATTTTGGATTATGGGAAAGTCCTCAATAAGACAATTAATTTGCCTTGCAAGTGCAAGGGGGCATGAATAAAGAAGAATAAAAAAAATAAAATAAAAGCATCTAAACATGCCAATGGAACCCCCCGAAAAAAAAGAAAAACTACTTTGGCAGGAGACAGGGAGGGGTGCAGACAACAAGCTGTGAATACCGGAAGAGACAGAAAATCATTGAGAAGCTTGCCTTTATGAATCTTTGATGAGGGGGAGTGGGGCTCGGCTGCGCCTCTGGTTAAATCAGAGCATCCAATGTGCGTGTGTGTGCGTGTGTGTGTGTGTGTGTGTGTGTGTGTGTGTGTGTGTGTGTGTGTGTGTGTGTGTGTGTGTGTGTGTCAATACATAGGACTTGGACCTTGCCCAGGCCTGTGCATTTGTTGACCCCTCCAATCAGTTCCAGTCCTCCCACATCGCATGTCCTGTAAGTGGAGCTGCTAACGCTAAAGCTAACTCTCAGTGTGCTGTGACGACAGCACGTTGGAGTGCAGTACATCTTCTATATTTAATACGGCAGCTGTCAACACAGTAGGGGCACCATCAAGTCATAAACACGCTAATGTTATTTAAGACGTGGCGTTGCGTGCGATGTCAATAATCCTCTCATGAAACAAAGAGACTTTTTAAATCATCATTTTCTAATCATTTAAAATTAAATAGACAGAATAATTTTTCTTACTTTTTTATTTGTATTTATTTTTTATTCTGGATGATGACCTATAATTTAGTGTAAATTTACCTAAGTGACAAAAGCATATTTCCTGGAATTGTTTTGGAAGCAATGGATGCAATTCAATATGCTTCCATTGCTGTCTTTACTGTTTATAACCGCCCCCTTGGCTGATTTTCTCACCAAGCCTTCCTCTCATAACAAAGGGTGTATTCAGCGAGCATCGTGACGTTTGTGTTACGCCACAGCGTGCACTGTTTTGCATTCTGTCGGGGATGTGTGTGTCGCAAGGCCTTGTCAAGAAACAGTCTTCCAATTAACACACGCATACTTGTGGTTTCTCCCTTCATTGTTACAGCTTCACACCTGTTCTCGGTTTTCGGGCACATGAAACGCTGCTGACAACTGTTGGGCGGTTGTTTTAATTAAAATACAAGACGTGTTACAACAACCATCCTTCACATCTCAACCGAAACCTCCTTCTAATGGATGTCACCGAGGTACCAATTATCTCCTCAGGATAACGCGCGTTTTGGTTACGAAACAAGACGAGCAGCGTAGTTGCGCTCATCTCATCTGGCACCTGCGATGCCTCAAAACTCGGCCGCTCATGTGTGTTTTATCCGCCAGAGGCCCTTTTGAAGACGAGCATCAGTTGAGCCAGTACAGAGATGCCGCAGACGCGTAGTACGTTTGGCATGTTTGCGATTCGTCTCGGAGTTGTCTCGGCTTGCGTGTGTATGCGGCAGAAACACACACTTGGCTGCAAAAGTTACTCTCCAGAAATAGGGCCCTTCGGATCACGTTAAGTGGAAAACTGTCTAAATTTAGTTCTGCCGGTGCTGCTTTCAAAAGAGTCAGGAGCTTTGGGGACGGAGTCAACAGCAAACCATACAGCGTTTCTACACCCATGACTTGAGAATCCATGCTGGCTGAAAACACAAAGCCGCTTTCAAATGACAGGTGGATGACTACACTGTAAGTACGACATTGCTGAAACACCTCACCGGCCTCTACGGGTGCAACAACCACAATATCATGTCAAAGCCACCAGGTAAGCAGAGCTGCATTGACGTTTGTTGGTGGCACAGATTAGCGCTAGGTAACAGCGTTTGCTTCTGATGAACAATATATTTTCTAAATGCAGTGGTTATGGAGGATCTTTTTGCTCGGTCATGTGTCCTTGCACCACATACACACGGCGAGGAATATGAACTGTTGTTTCTCCAGTTTTTTTCCAGCACTCTGGGCTCTCCTTTCACAAGTCGAAGCAAGCAGTGCACAACAGTTGGTGTGATGAAGCCGTCCCGTGCAGCCAGAGTACTGAAAAGCCGATTCAGCAGTATTTGTGGAAAGATGAGGGCGAGTTCACTTGTATGAGAAAAAAAAAATGGGCTGATGAGCATGACATGATATAGAGCGTGTAACATGTACTATAATTCTTTACCAGTCTTTGTGGCAAATGCATGGAACGGACACGTTATTGAGACACCTGGGAACTGTTTTAAATGGTGGAAATGGGTTTCCTTTAAAGGAGAGCGCAGATTGACAACTTAAGTGCCTGATTGCAAGCTTGCAGAGCTGCAATCCTTCTTGTAGCCTCAGGTGAAGACGGCCGAGCCAGTTCTTGTGTCGTGTCCTCCAGAGCCACACAGTGCCCCCTAATGGTTCCCAAGTGCCATTTGCTTTTGGTCAAACTGAGACTGTTCGGTAAAGGTAAAAAAGGGCCAGTACTTAACGAAGCCTCTAATTTGCGCTTCTTCTGCAGCGGACAAATCAATAGCGGCATCTAAGAGGTGAGTTGAGTGAGCTAGAGGGAGAGCTTGAGGGGCCGCTGCCCCTCGGGCGCCTCCTGGGGGGGTGTGGCGGTCCATGTGGTACCTTCCTGCTTGTCTCCTCACCCCGCATATGTTCTGCATGGATGAGCCTGCACGGATAGTGTGCATCCACACATAGGATGATGCCAAAACAACGGGCGGGCTCAAAATGTTACACTGAAGTGTATGGAGCGCCATAAAAGCAAATCGTGTACACTCTTGCCGTCCCATGATACCCGAGAGTACATGCATCACGGTCCAGACAAGACACACTCCATGGCGGTGGTCTTTTCACACAAGAACTGGAGGAGAAAGACCCCAAGAGACAATTCCAATCGGGTGGAACTCTTCTAAAAACTACCGGGATTGATTGAGGACACTAAAAAGTCCAAGAACATTCTCCTCCTGTCTTTTACTTTCAATCACAGCGTACATCAATTGACAAGAAGAAGTGGAGGGGGGAGGTAGAGGAGACGGCCAAACACAAGCCCAATGCACCGTGTGCACTTGTCTGGCAGATGCCTGCGCTGACATTTGAGGCCATGGGGACCGTGTTGAGAGAGCAGATGCTCGCTGATGTACAGACACAGGCAAGTACATGGCAAGTACACAAGCGGCTCAGGCAGAAGGAAATCCGTGCAAACGCATGTCAGAAAACAAGGCAAGAGGAAGAGGTGGAAGAAGAAGGCTTCGCATGCTGAGACGACAATCAACTGAATGGCAAAAGTGAAAAAAGGAACAAAAAAGGGGAATAAATACCACACATCAGTGGACATTAAGAGCCTTCTTTAGTCCTTAGAGGTTCCACTGACCTCAAAAGTCTCTGTGACCCAACGGCAAAATATTCCTGAACATAATGAAATTTAGTAGGCTATCAAGTGTTCTTTTAGCTGACGAGAAGCCACAAAAAAGTAACAGCAGTAGCCTTTGTCACAGCATGCTAATGTTTTCGATCCTGAAAAAACGTGGACGTGTACAGGTATATTTACATGCTTCCATTTTACATAAGGGTCATCATGAACTGCGCAAACAGCCAAAAGATCAGCTTCAGTCGATCCCACCTGATTTTGGACAAGAGTGGGACTACACCTGCAATGGTCCCCAGCCAATCTGAGGACACATATTTAAACAACCATTCAACGATCAGTCAAAATTCAAAGTCTTCAATAAGCCTTAACTGCCAGATTGTGAATGAAACATGTGAACATGCAAGGTTCACATCGGAAGGCCATAGGTATCTATCACCTTAATCATGAAAGTGTTAAATGTGGTGACGGTCAATTAAATACACATCCTTGCGAGGTGGAAGGCCCTTTTTGTCTTCCCAGTGACAGCGTCCTGGTCCACAAAGCGGGTCTGAACAGACATACTTGGATGTGTTTGTTGAGAAAATACTGAAATAGCCGCCGAGAACCAAAAACCTCAATTTTCAACATGTAACCAGTTATCCCCTCACACTAACAAGGGTGAATAATAATAACTACAATCCTTGAAAAGAGGCAAAACGACTGTAGTGCATCATCATTTTCAGCCCGAGACACCAGATACAACCTGGGCTTGTCGCTAAACAATCACTGGGCACATATAGAATCCAAATCAGAATTATTGGCCATGTATGCAGGAAACACACAAGGAATTTACTTCACAGTTACAACCCGTTCAGAGGAACATAGACAAGACTCCCCCATATTAGTCTTGTCTACAGAACGAGAAGTCTGGCAGGTCGCCGTTAAGACAAGCAACTAAAAACTCACATTTACACCAATGGTCGGTTTTGCCTTCAATGCATCGAAAGCTGTTACTGAACTGCTGGAGGAATCGAGAATAAACACAAGCAAGCATAGGTAGAACATGGAAACTCCAGACAGGAATGCCAGAGCCGAGATACGAACCCAGAACTTCGGAACTGTAAGTCAAACGTTCTAACCACTAGGGTTACCATACAGCCACTTCTGCACATAATGAGAAGAAAATAAACTGCGAACGAGTGATGTGAAGTTCACGAGCACAAACTGCAGAGTGAAATCAGAATTGCAGCTCATCTCCGGCTGAGAGGAACTAAGTTTTATTTCACGGAGGTCCGTAGGCGCCATTATGGAAATGGCTGGCTGGCAGGCTCTTTGGTTGCCTGTAAACAGGATCTTGCTAAGGCATATAGCCTGCGGTGAGCCCCTCGGAGAGAGGCTGGCTTG